CCTGGGCCCTTCTTCCCGGCTGACCCGTCGGGGCCTCGCTCCTGGAGTCCTGGGGTCGCGCCACACCGCGGAGCCGTCCGCGCTCCCGGGCCGCACGCCAGAGTCACCCTTGTCTTCCGCCGGGATGAAGGATGGAGTCTGTGGCCCTCGTCCCAGTGGTCACTCCTTATCCCCCTCGCCCTCTTGAAAATCCGAGAGGTCCGGGAATTTAGCTCAGTGGCACCGCACCTGCCAGCTTATTTTTATTTTTATTTTTTTTCAGCTTTAATTGAGTTTATTGGTACATTTTAGGGATACAGTACAGTTACATTCATTATTGGGATCTTGTACCTCTACATGACAGGTCTTGGTTCTCATTTTTTCCCCTTGTCCCTGCCCTCCCTTCACCCCCTCCTCCCCTGCCCATCTACAACCACTTTATTTCCATCTTTTCATTATCTCACATTTTTTTCTTTTACCTTTTTACCCTTCCCCTACCCGTCCCACCTTCCCTACACCTTTAGCTCCTTCCCATTTCTCAATGTCACTAATTTTATTAGGATCTTCTGTATTATTGCAGATTATTCACACCAGGGAAACTATTCGGTATTTACACATGTGTGCCTTGTTTATTTCACTTAGGAGTATGGATCCCTTTTAGGAATTTCTCTTTAAAAATGTGCCAGAATACATGCAAAGAACTATGTATAAAGAGAAGGTTTTATTAGTGTTAGTTATAATAGCGAGTATCAAAACAATCTGAATATCCAACAGTTGGAGGTGTGCCATGTTTTATTTATGATTTGATTGTGAAGCAGTCAACTGAATGTCATATTTTCAGATAATGTCCTAAAGAAATGGTTGCTATGTAATAAAAATTGTTTAAATTGTAAAGCATTTTACAATACTAGTTTTGTTTTAAAATGCCATGCAAATGTACAAAAAACTAGAAGGAAATATATAAAATCTGTTATATTTGAAGGGATGCTGGATAATTTTTTATTTTCTTTACATATTTCCGCATCTATGCATTTTCTACAGTGAATATAATCAAATAATAAAGTAAAAAATGGATACATATTGAAGATATACTCTTTATTTTTATTTTTATGTGCTACTGAGCATCGAACTCGGTCATCGCACGGAAATACGTCCTTAGCCCGCTGAAGAACTTTCCATTTTGAGACTGGGTCCGCTCCATGGCCCACACTGAGCTCGAACTTTCCATCCTCCTGCCTCAGCCTCCCAGAATGCAGGGATTGCAGGCATGAGCCATTGCGCATGGCTGAGACCCAAGTCCCCCTTAATCAGACGCATGGACTCCGCCTTCCCGGCAACTTCTGGAGCTCAGTTCTTTGATCCTTTGAAGGATGTTTTGACTTTCTTGGAAAAAAACAGGATTGATCAAAAGACAGAGGCCAAATTCGGTGCTCTTAGACAAAGGGTAACAAGACCAAAATGAATCAAACGTGCTGGGAAGTAAGAGGCAACCGCTGCCCAGCCCAAGTCTGGCAGGGTGGGAGACTGACTATCATCGTTAAATCCTAGGAAACAGTTGGCAACTCTAAAAAGAGCAAAATAACGTCTGATGACCTTACCCACATACCGCGAGACCATGAGCTTGCTCAGTTCTGAGATAGAGTCCTGCTAAATTGCACTTGCTGAGCTGGAACTTGGTATCCCCCTGCCTCAGCCTCTCAGAGTGCTGGGAATATGGGCACACGCTAGCAGGCTTGGCCCCAGTTATCATACAAGCTTGCCTATTTGCATAAACAGAGATTCCCATTGCAAGTTCAGTAGCTTAGAATTTAAAAAAATTTTTTTGAGGCTTAGGTTCTTATCGGATACAAGAAATCCGGAAAAAAAAAACAAACCATTTAGTGAAAACAGGTGCAGCCTGTCTGTATAGCCTGGCCTTCGGTTACAAGTCTCATTTTTTCCTGGTGGTGGGGATGGTGGGACGTGTGTGTTGAGAGCCTGACCACAAGGAGAGTGGAAGTGTGGCTGGGACTTCTCACTTAGATCCAGACTATGTCTTGAAATCCATGCCTATTCTGCCCTTTTTCTGAGTAGATCCATTCCAGGGCAAATGTGTGTGAGAGACCGTCATGCATTCACCAAGGTAGTAAATACACATTTAGAATTTGTTTTCAACAAAGAGCTTTGAAACAAGAGGTTTTGTTTTTCTTGTTGGTTTGGTTGATCCTGTGTTTTATAGGGAAAATCACTCCAATTAAAACATTTAAATCATTAAGATATTTTTTAAAAATTTGATTTTGGAATAATTTGTTATATTAGTTTAAGCAACACAATTCAAAGAAGGAAAAACGATCCTTTTGGCCCCTCTTAATTGTATGGGTTTTTTTTTCTTCATTTAAAATTTATATAACCTGCTTTACTTACAGGATAAAATTTGTTTAATTTCCTGGAATCCACTTGTCTACAAATGACCATTGTTATGTGCTGTTTCATACAGAAATATAGGGTTCTAATTACAAAGTGGACTTTGTTTGCAGTAGCATTTCTTTTAAAGGCAATTTTTAATCCTGCAATCTTTGAGTTGAATTTGTGGTTTTGAAATGAAAAAGCTCACTGTCAGTGCAAGTAAAAGATGTCAACATTGCAGGTGAACTGACATTGCTTGTTAAACACAGGAATAAGGCCCTGTTTACTTCAATCCCCAACAGCAATCTTTGGAGGAAAAGATGACTTGCTGTTGTTATGATTTGGCTCTTAAATGTCCCCTTAAAAGTTTGTATGCTATACGAAAGTCAGTGAATGTAATACATTATATTAACAAAGTCAAGGACAAAAACCATATGATCCTTTCAATAGATGCAGAAAAAGCATTTGATAAAATTCAACACCCATTCATGATAAAAACCCTGCAAAAAATTGGAATAGATGGTCTATACCTCAATTTAATAAAGGCTATTTATGAAAAACCATCAGCCAACATCATATTGAATGGCCAAAAACTGAAAACCTTCATGTTAAAATCAGGAACAAGACAAGGATGCCCACTATCACCACTTCTCTTCAATATAGTTCTGGAAACATTAGCCACAGCAATTAGACAAGAGAAAGAAATTAAAGCAATAAAGATAGGAAAGGAAGAAGTTAAACTATCATTATTTGCTGATGATATGATACTCTACATTGAAGATCCAAAAAACTCCACCAAAAAACTTCTAGACTTAATTGACAGATTCAGTAAAGTATCTGGATACAAGGTGAATACCCAAAAATCAATAGCCTTTCTATACACAAATAACAGACAGACAGAAAGAGAAATAAGGGAAAAAATTCCTTTTACAATAGCATCCAAAAAAATGAAGTATCTAGGAATCAATCTAACAAAAGAAACAAAAGATCTCTACACTGAAAACTACAGCACTCTGAAAAAAGAAATCGAAGAGGATATAAAAAAATGGAAAGATATCCCCTGCTCCTGGGTAGGAAGAATCAACATAGTGAAAATGGCCATACTACCGAAACTGCTATATACATTCAATGCAATGCCAATTGAAATTCCAACACTATATTTCACAGAACTAGAAAAAAGAATCCAAAAATTCATTTGGAACCACAAGAGACCTAGAATAGCAAAAGCCATTATAGGCAACAGTCACATGGCACCAGGTGTAACAATTCCCAATTTGAAACTATACTACAAAGCCACTGTGATAAAATCAGCATGGTACTGGCAAAGAAATAGGCCTGAGGATCAATGGAACAGACTGGAAGACACAAAAACAAATGCAGATGTACTCAGCTACCTCATCTTCGACAAAGGAGCTCACCATCCTCAGTGGAGGAAAGATAGCCTCTTTAATAAATGGTGTTGGAAAAACTGGATATCAACCTGTCACAGATTAAAATTAGACCCTTATCTTTCGCCATGCACTAAATTAAAATCCAAATGGATTAAAGATCTAAATATTAAAACAGAAACATTAAACTTGCTGGAAAGTAAGTTAGGCAGAACTCTGGAAGACATTGGTATAGGAAAAGACTTTATGAACAAATCCTCAGTAGCACGGGAACTAGCAGAAAGAATCAACAACTGGGATCTCATCTTACTAAAAAGCTTCTGTACTTCAAAAGAAACCATTAGCAGAACTAAGAGACAATCTACAATGTGGGAAAAAATTTTTACCAGCTGTACCTCAGACAAAGGACTATTATCAAGGATATATAAAGAACTCAAAACAATCAGTCCCCCCAAATATAAAGACCCGATCCAAAAATGGGCATCCGAAATGAACAGACATTTCTCATACAAAGAAGTGAAAGCAGCAAGAAAATATATGAAAAAATGTTCCACATCACTGGTCATTCGAGAGATGCAGATGAAAACAACACTGAGATTCCACCTCACCCCACAAAGAATGGCTGCTATCAAGAAATCACACAATAACAAATGTTGGCGGGGTTGTGGGGAGAAAGGAACCCTCCTCCATTGTTGGTGGGAGTGCAGACTAGTGCAACCACTATGGAAATCAATATGGAGATACCTCAAAGAGCTTGGACTGGAGGTTCCATTTGACCCAGCCATCCCTCTGTTGGGTATCTTTCCAAGAGAACTAAAAGAATCATATCACAGAGAAGTATGTGCACCCATGTTTATAGCGGCACAGTTTGTAATAGCTAAATCTTGGAAACAACCTATTTGCCCATCCGTTGGAAACTGGATAAAGAAGTTGTGGTTTTTCTATAAAATGGAATATTACTCAGCCATAAAGAGCGAGAGAATAGATTCATTCA